GATTCTATGAATGATCAAGAAAATGCAGATTTGCATTCAGACATGCCAGATGACTCTTTTCCAGAAGAATCATTCAATGAACAGCAGCCTTCACATCTTTCATCTGGAAATGAATCTGATCACCAAAGTACACTTCCCACAATAACAGTAAACAACCAACCAACAGATGTGTCTGATGACTTTCTGTGTCAGTCTGTAAGATCATTAAACAAAACACAACGTTATGCATATGACACAGTTCTGTCTTGGTGCAGAAGTAAAATTAAAAATATGAACAGTCTAAAGCCTGAAGAAGTTAAACCAATATATCTCTTTATAACTGGTGGTGCAGGCGCTGGAAAAAGTCACTTGATAAAAACAATATATCACACTGCAGCTAAAACTTTTCGACATGCTTGTAAGAACCCTGAACTACCAACAGTGCTTTTAATGGCTCCAACAGGAGTATCTGCTATTAATATCAATGGCACGACAATAAATACAGCTCTGGCAATTCCTCAGCAAACAAGTGACAATCTACCTGCAATGTCAGACCAAAAGAAGACTCAATTAAGACTGTCGTTTTCAGAACTAAAGCTTATTATTATAGATGAAATTTCTATGGTTGGGAACATTACTTTGCTTCACATACATCAAAGACTACAACAAGTTTTTGGCACAGGTAACTTGCAATTGTTTGCTGGCATAAGTATCATTGCTGTAGGTGATCTGTATCAGCTGCCACCAATACGAAGGAAACTGGTTTTTCAAAACTACAAAAATGACACTCATAATCTGTATCACCCATGGCAAGTTTTCACAATGATAGAACTAACTGAAATTATGAGACAAAAAGATGATCAGCCATTTACTGAGCTATTAAACAGAATTAGGACTGGTACTCACACTGAAGAAGATGTCAAGTGCATTAATTCAAGATCAGTCAGTCCATCAGATGATAATTACCCTTCAGATGCACTTCACATTTGGGCTGAAAATAACCCTGTTTCTGAACACAACAACAAACAACTAGACCAAATTTCAAAACCTTTGTTTGTACTCACAGCTGTAGATCAGTATCCACCTAACGTCACAAAACAAGATATTGATAGGTTGTTATGTAGAGGGAGATCTGAAACAGGCGGACTTGATTTTGAAATCCACATTAAAGAAGGTGCAAGAGTAATGCTTACAACTAACATCGATATTGCAGATAGACTTATAAATGGTCAGATAGGAAGTGTTGCAAAAATTATTGTTAATCAAGATAATCAAAAACCAACAGTTATCTTTGTAAAATTTGATGACCATAATGCTGGGAATATTTCAATACAAAAATGTGGAAATCTGTTTGCTAGACAAAACAGAGCAGTACCCATTCAACCAGTTGTAACAAAAATCAAAGTCAGGCCAGGTAAACCATCCTCTCCAGAAATACAAAGGATACAGTTTCCTATCACACTGGTATGGGCATGCACTGTGCACAAAGTGCAAGGTTTGACACTTGATAAAGTTGTTATTAGTTTTAACTTGAATAGACAAAGAAGTTTTAACTATGGACAAGTTTATGTTGCATTAAGTCGTTCAACTTCCTTACAAGGACTCTACATTCTGGGGCGAATAGATAGTAAAAATGTAAGAGCAGACTCTAGAGTCCATGATGAATATGAAAGATTGCGAAATAATTCATCAAAAAGTATGCAGCAAACAAATAAACCAATCCAAACTATTCAGGAAAATAGCTCAAATTTAACTTTATCCCTTCTAAATATAAGATCTCTTAGAAAACACAGTATTGACATCAAGCTTGATACAAATATTTTCAGTAGTGATATTATAGCTCTGACAGAAACACAACTTCTTCCTCAAGACACAGACCACAATATTAGAAATGACTTGAATTCCTTTACACTGTAGAGGCAAGATCATATTTCTGACAAATACTCAAGTTTAGCACTCTGTACCAAAAATAACATTGAAATTACAGAACAAGAGTATTTCCCTTCAGTAAATGCACTAAAATTTGTTGCTACCAATACTTCTATCCAGCAACAGCTCTCCTTTCTTCTATTATATAGACAACACAGCTCTAATGTTTTACAATTTATAAACTCTATGGAATATCTACTTAGGAGTAATCCTATTGACCTCGTACTTGGAGACTTCAACATAAATTACTTCTATGAGAAAGAAAATAGGCCACTTGAATGCTTGATGCACTCTTTAAACTATGAACAAATTGTACAAACTCCCACATTTATTTCTGCAGGAACATTGTTAGACCATATTTACATGAAGCCAACAGCTTTTGATATAATCCACAATGATGTAATTAGTGTTTATTATTCAGACCATGATGCAGTTAAAGTATCATTGCAATTGTAACTTACAATAATTTATTATAATTAAAACCACGATATTGTTGTTTTACTTTAATTTTGTATTTAAGCTGATTTTCCAAATCACCAGATTACAATGATACACATCAACTGCGATGCCTAGATTGCTAATTATGGGGAAACTACTGAACTCAACTGATATTGTAACAAAGCTGTTCCAAACAAAAATACTATAAATCTCAAGAATGATATAAATATGTTGGGAATAGGCCATTATATTTTCCACTGGGGAGAGTTTAGGCAATAACCCCAAATCCCCCCCCCCCCCCCAAAAAAAAAAAAAAAAAAACCAAACAAAAAAAAAACTGATAGTGTTCCCTTCAAATCCAAAATGTTATTGTTGAGCAATTTTTAAAGTTATTACTACTTAAAGTGGTTGTAACAAACACCCTGCTAAATATGATACAGCAGCAAAAACAAGCACCCTTCTCCAAATCAATATGGTCTATTCCTAATGGTGATTATATAACACTTCCATTTAATTGTGACATACTGTAGAAATATTTCATGTTAAATACAAAACATTGGGACCCTTAGCACCTTTGTGGTGCTGCTATCCTTCAAGTGCCAAAAAGGTGGGTTGTTGCTTTTACTGCATGGCTCTGCCCTACTGGTTAAATTAGCACATTGCACTTTGGATTAAGCAGTCCTGGTTCAAGTGCTACCCAGCTGTTAAGTTCTTGGGCAACTACACCTAACACTCATAGTGCCTTCCTTCACCCAGGAGTGAAAATGGATACTACTGGCAACATTATGTAGACTATATCATCTAACTTACCTGTGACAATGATCTTGTTTTCTTTCCTATTTTTCAGATGTCATTAAGCAAACCAGTCACTATCGCTGACATCAAGTCTTCACCTGTCCCTAACTCTCCTCAACGATGTGCAAAGAAGCTCACATGTGCTGTCCTCAACAAAAGCCCACTAAGACCAATCAAAAATGGTTCTATGTTCTCCTTGAGTCTATGTGATAAAGACCCATCATCCACAATCAGAGCCGTCTGTTTCAACACAGACCTGTTCTCCAACTTTGAAACGGATGTAACATATGAGCTTGGAAATTTTGACCTCAAATTGGGCCAAGGAAATGTCCACTAGATTCCAGTCCTTTTAAGGCCAAATTTCGCTCGGCCATTTTCATGGCGACTCAGAGGGACCCGGGGAGTCATCTATTTTGCCTGTTTGCGGGAGACTTGTAATGAAAACAAACGTTTGGCGCTAAAAAATAAAATCTATTCCTTTCAAGCTTTAGTTTGATATCTGATTCATCGACTTTGTCCATATTTCTTGATTTTTGCATTCGTAGTGAACACAGGGCTCCAAAGAACGATCGCAGTTACAAATATAAGTCTTCAGTCGACTTCAAAAACGGAGGTAAATAATGTTAAAGCACTCGTTTTGCTCAAAAAGGAAACGGTAGAACCACAGAAGAGATATTGATCGTTTATAATTTCGAGTTGAGCGGTCATAATTTTGCTTTTATATGTGTAAAAATTTGTAACAAAAATACTCAATTTTAATTGAAAGGAAATAGCCTGTGGCCCATGACCGTGGCGATCGGGCAATGGGAAGTAAGAAGAGAAGAACCCCTCGGAGATCGCTTGCATTTTCGCAGAAGAAACGATTCCCTGTAGCTGAACTAGCTAGAGAAAGGGCTACCCTTCGAAAAGAGTATCTGTCAAAGAGTAAAGAGCTCTCTGCTCTGAGAAAAAAGTTAGAGCGCCTACAAAAAAATGGCGAGAAAATACGAGAATGTGTGGATCAGCTTGAGCTTGAGGTGACCCCGCCAACTCAAAGCCGTGCGACAGCATTTGAAATCTTGCAAAACACTTCTACAAGTAGGAAAAAAAGCCCAACTGAACTCACTGGAGAGGGTAAATTAAATTTACCGAGACGAAGTGCCCACAGAAGGCAATTAGAGACCCTGATTGCTGCTTCAGAGGTGAACGGAGGTTCCGTGGAAGATAGAACTCCTGCTCTTGATGGAATGTTTTCCACTGTTCTCAAATATGGCAAAATGGCTGATATTTCTAAATATTTCGATTCTTCTAAAAAGCTTAAAAGGGCAGCTGCGATGAAAATAAATGCTCAAGCGAAGGAGTACGAGGAAAGCAATGAAAATTTCATCCGTTCCTTATCTCTACTGTATGCAGGGGGGATCATTGGAAAAGTAAAATACCAGCAGGGGAGATCAGCAATGGTTATGAGACATACTGGGAAAAGAACCATGAAAGGTTATCTTTCAAGGGAGAGAATCAAATTTGGCTTTGGAGTTCCCATTCCAAGGCCACTTGCTTACAGTGCTCTCATGCACAAAATTGAAGAAATCAATGTTGGAGAGACCTTGTCAGTGAGAGAAACACTGTGCACTACCTTACCCAGGGATCAACGAGTTGATGGGGTCTACAGAGACTTAGAGACAATGCTAATTATGCTTAGTCAATTTTACTTTGAAACAAATGAATTTAGAAAGGACAATGACAAACTTAATTGGTTTGGTCACAAAGAAGGATCCTTTAAAGTGGCAATTGGGGGGAGGGAGCACCCTTTGGGAAGTGGGATGAGTCAATGTCCTGGTTGGTGAGTTTCTTAAATGTTGGGCCAAGAGTGGCTAGCCCAAATGACAATTTTCTTTTATTTGGTGCCAACTGCAAAGAAGACCACCCATGTGTAGAGCAATTTACTCTGCAATTAACCTCCAAGATTGAAGCAATTGAGAAGAAAACATATACAGTGTCAGAGAAGCAAGTAACCTTCACTTTTGAACTGGTTCCCTCAGACATGAAATTTCTGGCTTTCCTTAATGGGGAACTTAACAATGCTGCCACTTATTTTTCCAGCTTTGCAAATGTATCAAAAGAGGACTGTGTTACACTGAATGGAAAATTTGGGCTAATGAATGATTGCAAGTGGAAACCATGGCCATACAAAGATAGATTAAACATTGCCAAACAGGTAGAAAGTTTTAAGGCAAAGCTTCCCTCCAGCCTTGCAGCCTCAACAAAAAGAACAAAAATCACCAAATTTATTGCCAGTAATAAATCAAGGCAGGAATTTCAGCCACTGATTGGAAAGTTGTGTGATAAAGAGGTTGTAGAGCCCCTTCACCTTAAAAACAATGGGGTACAGCATTTACACACAATGCTATTAAACCTAGCAATTTCTTCAAGTAACCTCCCACAGAAGATCTCCAGCCTATCAGACCTATCCCCAGCATGTGCAATGTCAAGGTACATGAAGGCACTAGAGTGTGATGTAAAAGCTGGACGTTTGAAAAAGCAGCTAGGAAAGTGGATGCTGGAAGATAGGTCTAAGGACAAAGACTTTTCTTACAGACTGACTGGAAAGGACTCAAGACTTATTTTGCATGGGTTTATGTACCTTGTGAATGCCATCAGGGGGATTCAGATGATCCCAAATTGCTTATGAAACTTTTGTTCATTGTTTTCATTGCAATGAAGCTCAGAGATTGTGCCTCCATTTTTTCAATGTACCACATTACTCAGCCAGCCATTGATGAACTCAAGGTCTTAGCTCGGGATTACTTCACAGCAGTCACACTCTTCACAGGCACTGTATCAGGGACAGTTTGGAGCATTGGACATTTGGTCCCAGTTCACACCCAGTGGGTATTTGAGAAATATGAAACTGGATTAGGAGTGAACACCATGCAAGGGAGGGAAGCCAAGCATGTTCAAATTGCCAGCTATGCAAGAAACAGCCTTTATAAAGACCGCTGGAATCAGGTATTCAGGCATGATTACATCAGTAAACTTTGGCTCCCTCTCCGCCAGCCATCTCTCTTGACATATCATCAATCAAGAGACAGCCTCATCCCCAATCGCATTACCACAGATGCACAACACTTTTGCTCCTGTGGGTTTTCCAAAGGTGAACACGACGACAAATGTTTCTTTTGTGGTCATAAATTCATGGATGAGATCAAGAAGTCTGTTGCGGAGGGAAAGCCTACTAGAGAGTGTTTGAAGTACTTGTCTTAACTTGGTCGTGGCTTAGTCTTACAAGCCTAGTGGCCCATGACTGCCAGAGCTTATCCCAGTTTCCGTAGCATGAAGCAACTATTGTCAGGTTTCCCTGACAGTTTGCTGGTACCCATTTATACTCCTGGGTGGAGAGAAGCACTATGGAGTAAAGTGTCTTGCCCAAGAACACAACACAATGACCTGGCCAGGGCTCGAACCCGGACCTCTGGATCCGGAGTCCAGCGCGCTAACCACTAGGCCACCGTGTCTCCGACTAACTATAAATCGGAGTCAAAACATTGTACCAAAGAAATAACAGAATTGGGATCATGTGTCAGACACTCTCCGGCTACCTCAATTATTTTCATAATAATAACAAATTCTGAGAGCGTGAACCTATTTTAATAACCGGGAAAGAAATTTTATTTTAATACATACATACATACATACCCACCTACCCACCTACCCACCTACACACACACACACACACACACACCTACACCTACACCTACCCACCTACTACCCACCTACCCACCTACCCACCTACCCACCTACCCACCTACCCACCTACCCACCTACCCACCTACCCACCTACCCACCTACCCACCTACCCACCTACCCACCTACCCACCTACCCACCTACCCACCTACCCACCTACCCACCTACCCACCTACCCACCTACCCACCTACCCACCTACCCACCTACCCACCTACCCACCTACCCACCTACCCACCTACCCACCTACCCACCTACCCACCTACCCACCTACCCACCTACCCACCTACCCACCTACCCACCTACCCACCTACCCACCTACCCACCTACCCACCTACCCACCTACCCACCTACCCACCTACCCACCTACCCACCTACCCACCTACCCACCTACCCACCTACCCACCTACCCACCTACCCACCTACCCACCTACCCACCTACCCACCTACCCACCTACCCACCTACCCACCTACCCACCTACCCACCTACCCACCTACCCACCTACCCACCTACCCACCTACCCACCTACCCACCTACCCACCTACCCACCTACCCACCTACCCACCTACCCACCTACCCACCTACCCACCTACCCACCTACCTACCTACCTACAGACAGACAGACAGACAGACAGACAGACAGACAGACATACATACATACAGACAGACAGACACACACACACACACACACACACATACATACATACATACATACATACTTTTATTGATGCTCCCTAGAAAGGGTTTTTCAGCTAAACACAATACAATTACAAATACAGATTTAAATTTAAATTAATTAAGAATATAAATGTAATTATAACTATAATAAATGTCAAAAATATTCTAAATGTAACGAATATTCTAAATGTACAGTGTTGTTAGTAAATCTGCTTAATAGTTTCCTTAAGAGAATAATTTTTATTGTTAGGGGTCTGTCAGAGACTGTTCCCCTTTTCTATATTTTAATTCCACTGAGGGCATTGCAACAATAACATATAAGACAATTAATGTACCCACAATTGTGTTAGAAGTGTATAAAATCATAAATATAACATCTATTACATATATGTTGTTGTCTCGACTCGATTACAATTTAAGAATGTACCACTGCATCCAATCAATACTGGAAAAACAAACTGCTCCTGTTTCAATGCTGAATGATGCCAAATGCATTCCAGTACCCGTAATGGAAATTAAATTGTAAAATTTCCTCTTTAAACTTGTATCTCATAATTCCATTCTTCCTGTCGTCAACAATAAGTTTTACCACCCCTTTTCCAGCTCCTAGCTCCTTTGTAAATGCTTCGCAGTCCTCAAATTTATTGAACAAAGCACACAGTCTTCTCATATTTGTGAATGTTATTGTCACTGAACCGGGTTTCTCCGAAACATCTACACCATAACTTGTGCGATTTACGATCCCTTTGTTTAATAGACTGAACACTTCCTGCGGCATCGGAACATCGAAACAGATCACCCAAGGATGGATTTTACTCATCCGTGGAGTAAGGCGTGTATTAATTCCATTCTTAGCTATTATCATTGTTCGTTCCAACATTGGATATACATGACTGATTTCATGCTCGTGTCGATAGCGAAGGGGACCATATTTTCCTT